AAGAGATTCACGTTTTATCTGATGGAGATCTGGCATCTACTCATCTAGGAAGTTCGGTTCCTCCTCCTTCTGTGGCTCTACCTCACTCCCAGACAGTCTGAATTTTTGGCCAGTAATAGCATTGACGTCACAGGAGCCCTTGACACCTCCGCAGATGGCTATCAGCTTCGTGTTTAAGAGCAGGTACCGTCTGTATGGTGTCCTATGGCCAAGAGTCCTGCTAGCCAATGGACATCTCCCGCTGATGGAGAGGGACTATGGGCCGGACCTCTCACAGCCTTCGGAATCCCTGGGCAAAGAAAGCTGCCCTACAGTATCTCGACGACCACAAACTTTTGCTATACAGCCCTGGCAGATCTCCCATTTCCCACTGTCCAGGGGGGGAGCATAGCTCGCGCACCCGTGCATCCCTCCCGGGAGAGGCGGCATCTCTGAGGCAGCACCTTCAAGGTCCCCAGAACCCCATCCCTCTCCAGGGCCAGAATCCCGCACATTCCGCCTCTGTGCCGGAGTGGGCGCGGCTCCAGGTGAGCGCTCACCTGAAGAGGGGCGGGGCCTGACACTGGCCCCTCCCACAACGAGGCGGGCAGAGCTCGGCGGAGCCTATGGGGCGAGGGGCTCGCCCGCTGCCAGGCTCCCTCCCCGGGCCGCTCGCGCTCCGCCCCTCCCGGGTTTAAAGCCCCGCGGGCGGCTGGTGGCGGCGCAACGAGCGCCGAGTGGCGCGAGGAGATGCGAGAGTGCACCCGCCGCCGGCACCATGCGCCCCGAGCCCGCGCTGGCCCTGGCCACGCTCTGCCTGTTGGCGCTGCCTGCCGCTGCCGCTGCCGCCGCCTACTTCGGGTCAGTGCCCGTCGCGTCCCCGCGCTCCGCGTGCCCTGTCCCTGGCTCGGGTCCCTGAGAGGCCTCGAACTCAACCCTTTGCTCAGGCGGGACCCCGATTGTCTTGCGGGAGCATTTCGCTCCCGGATCTCCGTCCCTCGCTCTCTGAGATCAGACTTAAATCTTCCTTTCTGGAGTCTACCAAGTCTAGGTCCCTTTCCCCTCCCGGTTCCTCTGCCGGGTGGCTGTCAGACTCCAGCCCAAGCCTGGAGCTCCGCTTGCGCAGGGGATCCTGACCTGACACCCCTGGTACGCCCTTGTCCGCGCCTGTCCAAGCGTCTGTCCCAGGCTCCCATGCCCTCTTCAGATCCTTCCTCTGCACCTTCTCTGTCCCCATCCCGGGCTCGGTCCAGCTACACTCTTTGCTTACGATTTCTATATCCTTCGCTTTCTCCCTACAGAGCTGGGACCTGGACACCTGGCTGGGTGGAGGGATTGGTGGGTAGGGGCAGGGAGGAAGTTGAGAGTTTTGCTGATCCAAAGGCATGGGAGATCTTGGGACCGCGGGGCACATTAGTTAGAGCATAAAGAACTGCGCCCTGAGAAAGTGCGACCAAATTAAACTCTAGAGCCGACATGGATAGGGTTTATGTCGAAGAGAGGGAGAGAGGCCCATTTAAGGGTGTCCATGGTTAGAAAAATGATAATAGCTTATGGTGATACCTGGAGAGTGAGACAGGAACCTCAAGGAAAATGGTTGGAAGGGAAGCACAATGGCATTTGTCTGCAAATGTCTTCTCTGACCCTGAATTGAAAGTACTTGGTGAGGGTTAGGGGTGGCGGTGATGGTCGGGATCATGGCTTTAAAAATCACCTCAACCCAAAGCAGGCTCCAAGTGCTTAACTTGAAAAGTTGCCTTTTTCTTCCAGCTACACCCCTAGTCAGGCAAGGCTCGCAGTCCAAGCACAGCAGAGGCTGCTCTTAGGAAACCACCGCAGTGTGCGAGGGTCTAGGGGAATCTCACGGGCTGGAATAAGCGATGTAGGCTAATTTCCAGGTCATGACCTCTGGCTAAAATGTACCTGGGTTATAGGCAACAACCTCCCCTGGAATATGTGGGGAGGGTTCATCAGTCTCAGTCCTAGTGCAGATCCCTGTTGACGATGACCTGGGGAGATCATTCAGTTCCTGGGGACTCAGTATCTCTTTGTGACCCACCCCCACGACAGCAGACATGTTCATCGCCAAGAACTTGCCCCAGTGGGCATGACTGAAGGGAGAGGACACAGCTCTGAGTTCAGTCCTGCCACTTTTGTGACACTGTGCCTTTGGCTGCCTCACTCAAACACACTGTCTTGCGTGTCTGACCTGTAGAATCTGGGAAAGAGTGTCTGAGGCTAGACCATAGGAAGCTCTTAGAACAGAGGCTAGCTTATAGTAAACACCCAGGTAGTACTATTGATGATGCCGGTAGAGGAAACCAAGAAGGTTCTGGGTATCCCAGACCCAAGAGTCTCTCTGAGCTGGAATACAGGAGCAACTGACCCCAGACTGTTTCCATGATTCTTTTCTTTCTTTGGGTTTTATGGTTGGAGGCAGAGTGAAGGAAAATCCGATGATGTGGGAAAAGGGAGTCCTGAACCACCCTGGCTGAAAGGGGACAGATTTTGGGGCTGGGGAGGAAGGGACAGTCTTGAAAGTAAGAGGGGGAGATGGTTAGTTATGTCCAGAGGGACAGTGAGGGGTTGAGTTTTGGAATCCTTCCTTGAAAGAACTGAAAGGGTACAGGCAAGCCTCATGCTGTTAAGTGTTAGGGCCCAGGGAACGGGCAAGACCCATCAGGGGCAAACTCTCTTGTGACTTAGTTGGCCCAGGTTTGCTATCCTCACATCAGTGTCTGCTCCCAGTCATCCACACTTCAGTGAGACCGAGAAGCAATGTGCTTATCCCTCCTTAGGTCACTTGCTTTTGAAGTCTCATTTCTAAGTATAACATGAAATACTTTCTTTTATTTCCTGATGAAAGGAAATCCAGCGATCAGGAGAGCAGGTGACAGCAATTTTGGTACCAATCTTTTTGGGATCTTTGCAGTCAAAGACTTCAGAGTGAGGAATGACCAACCCCCTGCTTCAAAAAAGGTCACATCTTATCCCCATTTTTCAGATCGCATGTCCCCCTCCCAAGCCACAGGGAGCACGCAGTGGCTTTTGCTGCCTGCAGCCTGATTCGGTGGGTGGCAACGGTGACGTAACAAAGCAGAGGAGACGCCTCTAACTCCCTCCTGCACAAAGCCCCTTCTCTCAGAGGCCCCTCAAAGCAATTTCTGTGGTAGGTAAAAAAAAAAAAATCCAGAAAGGTCTAGAGGGTCACTTGGTGTCACACAGCAAATTGGTGAGGGGCAGGATAGAAGCCAGGCTTCGTGTTTGTTCTCTATCCTGTATAGGAAACAGCCTCATAAGGTGTTCTTGTGTGATGCCTGAGGGAGACAGCGGCTGCAAAAGGGTGGGGGTTGGAGAGTGGCCTCTTTCTCCTGCTTGATGAATTCTCTCAGACCCTCATGGCCGTAGTGAGAGAAACCACACATTCCTCAACAGTGAGACCGGCAGGATTCCATGCACCTTCTAGTCCTTTAGATGGGCTCTTACAGGATAGCAATGTGTCAGGAGGTGGCTGGAAGGCCACGGACAGGCTTACGATGAGGACTTAGTACATCATAGGCGCCCTGTTGGACCATTCATTGGCCAGTCTGCACACCTGTCCTTTAGATGGGCATTGTCATCAGTGACAAGATCCTGATGTCCATAATCACTGATCCCAGCAAGATTAAAACATCTGCCTAGAGTCACACAGTCAGCAGCAGGCAAAGCTAGGATCCGGACCTGAGACTCAAAGGTTTTCACAGCCTTTTCTGATATGACCCTAGAGAAGAGAGGAACTCAGCCAGTGTAGAGGCTACATGCCTGCCAAGGACTACCGAAGTCAACCATGCTTTAGAAAGCTGCTGGGAGATGGCTCATCAGTAAAGTTCTCACCTTGTAAGCATGAGAACCTGAGCTCAGACCCCCAGCACTCATGTAAAAAGGCCACGTGTGCTGGCGTGTCTCAGTGCTGGACAGGCTGAGACAGGAGGCTTCCAGTCTCTCTGAGCAGCTAATCTAACCTAATTGGTGAACTTCAGGCCAATGGAAGACCTTATCTCAAAGATGAACAGTGTTCTTAAGGATGACACCCACAGGGGGCTGGAGAGATGGCTCAGTGGTTAAGAGCACTGACTGCTCTTCTAGAGGTCCTGAGTTCAAATCCCAGCAACCACATGGTGGCTCACAACCATCTGTATTGAGATTTGATGCCCTCTTCTGGTGTGTCTGAAGACAGCTACAGTGTACTCATATAAATGAAATAAATAAAACTTTAAAAAAAAAAAAAAAAAAAAAAGGATGACACCCACAGTCGTCCCTCTGGCCCCTGTAAATGTGCACACACAGGAGCAACTTCTAGTGACAAAGATCCCTGGGTTACTTTAGGACTGAGTTGGGTGACAGGACCTAGCATGTGCAGAGCCCAGCAGGTAAGCAGCATGCTTGTCTGTTAATCCAGGCTAAGGCACAACACCATTAGGTAAACCTGAACTTCCAGGTTTGTCAGGGTGGGGAGACTTGGGATCTCCAGGTGCTAGGGACTCTGTAAGACAAGAGACTTGATCAAAACAACACAATGGACATCTCAGAGCCAGGACGAACCTGGCCTCTGAGCTCTGTCCCTCCCCAGTTGTCACAGCACCCTGGGAAAGCCTGACTGATCAGCAGTGGGCCAGTTTAAAGGCTGTTTTTCTGATGGGCTGTTCTGGTATTGTCCTTGTGAGTCCATGGAAGAAACAAAACATCACCTGTGTTTTCTCGCCCAAGTTCCCATTACATATACTACACTGCATTCATTTTGAGAACACTGTCTAGGTCTTGTAAATTGTTACACTTTGATAATCACTTTAAGTGACCACAATTACTATATATTTGTAGATTGTGTTTATTGAGATCCATCAGGGTTGTTGCATATATCAATAGCTCTTTCCTCTTTATTCCTGAGTTGTAGTCTATTATATGGGTATGACACTTTTTTTTTTTAAACTGATTCCACTATTGATGGACATTTGAGTTAGTTCTAGTTTTTAGCTATTCCCAACATGGCTGGCGTGAGCATCTATGTCCCTTTTGTGGACATATGTTTCCACTTCTTTTTGGTAACTGTCTGGGGGGCTGGATTGTTGGATCACCTAGCAGGAATATTTTTAATTTGTAGGGAATGGGGGAACAGTTTCCAACATGATTGTGCCATTTGCACAGGAATCTCTGACCATTCCGGGTACTTCGTATTGCCAGCCCTCATCTGTCTTGTTGCTACTTTATTGGGCGTGTACTGGTGTCTCATTGTGGTTTTAATTTGTGTTGTCCCATTGGTGACTGACATGTTGGACATTTTTTCATGTGATCATTAGAATATCTTTCTTTTTACTTGTTTGTCTCTCTATCAATTAAATCTAGGTGTTCTTTAACACCCAGTGCACTGTTGGCTTTTTCTTGTATGCCTTTTCTCCCTATGTTCTCTTGAGATGCTTCACAAACTCCCCCTTTACACTTAAGCCCATGAGTTAGGGTGCTCGATGTGAGGTCGGTACCCAGGCACACTATCTCCTTCGTGGATCTTTATAGTAAGTCAGAGGCGAAGTACCACAAACTCCTTAACTAAGCCCTTCTTTTCAAAAGTTGCTCCAGCTGTTCGGGATCTTCCTGTTTTCACACGTATAGTTTAGCATCAGCTTGTCCACATCTACCCAAAAGCCTGCTTGGATGTTGACTGTGACTGTCCTGAGCCTAGAAATCAATTCATGAAGGACTGGGTGGGCTGCTTCATAAACAATCCTGTCTGTCTGTGTGGGGGGTTTTAAGTTGCCTTCAGCATCTTGCAGTGTTCTCTTATGTGGGGGACGGGGATGTGGGATTGAAATTGGGTCTCAGGCAGCCTAGGCTGCCTTCAAACTCACTATATCCCTAAGCCTGTCATTAAAATTCTGATCCCCCTGCCTCCCATGCCTCTCATCCCCCAAGAGCCTTTTTGGCAGACCACCATGCCTGGCTTAGGTCTTATAGGTATCTTCTTAAAGTGTTTTTCATGTTTAGATACTGTCATTTTTATTCAATTTCCCTCCAATACTTTTAGAAATGGGATGGAATCCTAAGTAAAATGGGGCAAGAGGAAAACAGGTAAAGGAAATCTCCTTGCTGTGGGGTGATGGATTAAAGGCCAAATCTCCTGGTAAGTATCACAATGTCTGAGGGAAGGACTTTAGGCTAACTGCCCCTGGTTGAGCTGTGATCCCTGAAGACAAATGCTTTAGGTTTGGGCTCTGGGTCAAACCTCAGTGTATGGTGGTAACTTTTCCCCAGGGGGAAGTGGCCTGGGAGACAGAGAAGCAAGATAGGGATCGTCTCCTACTGGAAGATCACCGCCTGAGCATGAGGTATTAGTGCCTTAGGGACCGTGTACTAAGGCAGGACTGGTCTCAGGAAATGGCCCAGATCACCAGCTAGGGTTGGTATCAACCTGAGCAAGACAAGAGTGGTCAAGGCTGGGTTCTAGTGCAGCAGTCTCAACCTGGAGGTCGCAGCCTTATGCTAGGTGTCAAAGGACCCTTTCACAGAGTGGCCCGAGTTCATCAGAAAACACAGATATTTACTATGATTCACAACAGTAGCAGAATTATAGTTATGAAGTAGCAACGAAAATAATGTTATGGTTGGGGGGTCGCGGCAGCATGAAGAACTGTGTTAAAGGGTCACAGCATCAGGAAGGTTGAGAGCCACTGGGCTAGTGTAAGGGGTATTGGGCTGGATGTGGTGCTGAGCACCTGTGAGGCAGAGACAGTCTCTGTGGACTCAAGGGCAGTTTGGTCAGAATAGTGAGTTCCAGACCAGCCGAGGTTACCAGACTCCAGGCTAGACAGACCAACGTTAATATCCTCCACGGAGACTTATTAAATGATGGTGAACAAGTCAGCCATTTTTACTTCAGGATGGGAAGCAGGCTACTTTTTCTCTCTCAGGGTTGTTGTGGGGGTTAATTGCTGCACACAGGGCTGTTCTACCACTGCGCATGATGGTAGAGCATTTGCCAAGACCTTCCATTCCCCTGAAAGGCCTGCCTTCAAAAGAGCATATAAAGTACTGTGAAATGTTACCTGTATCTCACACCCTACAGAAAGCAGGGAACAAACCAAGTTTTCCCCATGCTCACCAGTTTCCACAGATGTTGCCATTGTGATATCCCAGAAGGGAGATGCTGGGCTGGTTATCATCTTATACAGCCCAACGGAGAGAGCTTACAGAGCCCAAGTGCCCTCCCCAAAGTCACATAGCACGTGCACATCTAGTCTGTGGGAATGATGGGTGACCTCTTTGCCTCTGCCTCGTTCTTCCCGCTCAGTATGCTCGTCTCGATCCGGCAGCTGGGCCCTCCCACTCCTCCACTGTGGCACTCATCTTTCACTCTCACGTGGAACACCTTCTGCACACTGTGCCCTGAACTCTTGTTAGCCAAGTCTTCCTGTGCTCACTTCTCTGGCTTTCCCAGAGAACCCTGTGGCCAGAGATCTTAGGGTCCTGTTGTTGCCTAGGTCCTGTCCTTACAGCCTTTGATGTCAGCCCTGTACTACAGTGACTACCTAGGTGGCTAGTGCTCATTGTCTCTTGCTGGTCCCCCTTCCCTTGTGCGCCTCTCTATGCCCATTACAACTGCTCATTTAAAGATCACTAAGGCCTGTGCCATTCCCTGACCTCTTTCTCTGTCAGCATGGGATGTGAAGAGGAGAAGAGGGCAAGCCTCACCTCTCAGCCTCTTTGGGTCAGCCATTTTGGGCAATTTTGTGGGCAGCAGAGCTGAGCTGGAGGAAGATGAGAACGTACATCCAGTGGTTGCCTCTGTTTGGGACCCCTCATTGGAGAAATGAAGACTGAAGATAGAATGGAAAGGCTAAAGGAACCGGGATAGACTTTAGCCAGCACATTCTGGTCAATGCTGGAAGCTCTGAGGCTGGGCAAATGACAAGGTCAAAGGCCCTGCTTTGACATCCCAATAGCTTCCAGGCCTGGTACAGTTTTAATTCAAAATGCCTCTGAGCTTAGTGACGTCATAGACATGTTTGTCCTCACGAGCCCGGCACCTGGAGACAGACACTTGGTTGATTTTCATGGAGAATACTAGTAGGTTAGGATAAATAAAGACCATAACACTGTTTGGTCTGAATTCTAGGATGGGCCTGTTTATCCCAGTTTATGCCAAAGCCCCAGGGTTCACTGAGCTTTCCAGCGTTTGGGCTACTGATAGAGGTTTGTGAACCCGTGGTACCATGTCACCCTGAGAGGTTACACAAGCTTCTTCAAAGAAAGAGATGGGTCAGCTTCTTGACTGGTCCTTAGCAGGTTTCCAAGGAAACTGAAATTCAGAGGGATCTGGTCCGGCTCCTGGAGACCTCCCAGGGCTGCACTGAATGACTGGAGCCAGAAGGCCCTGAAGTCTGCTGCTGGTCACAGGATGCAACAGTAACCACAGTGAAGGCAAGGGGTGATGGGTATGGCCGCAGGCAGGCTCCCAAAGAGCCCTGCCCTTTCCCAATGTCTTTCCTAAACGTTTACATATTTGGAGGCGGTGGTCCTGCAGCCTGTGAGCAAGGCTGTGGGGGAAGCCATTAGAATGGGTCCCGGGAAGCCTGACAGGAAGCACAGACTGATCAACAGGGGCTAACGCAGCCAACGGGAGTCTGAAAGACATCTGAGCAAGCTAGAATGGCAAGCTAGAGAGAGCCACTGAGGTTCCAGAAGTCACGCTAGCCCCCACTAAAGAGCTCACCTGCAGCTTAGCGAAACTATGCAGCCAACCATGTACAACTGAAGGCACTATACACGTGAATGTGAGAAAAGATGAAGTTGGAGAGAGGAGTGTCAAACAAGGACTTCCTGGAGGAGGCCTGGGAGACACACAGTGCCCAGGAGTCACCTATCCCACTTCCTGCCTTATGGAGTCAAGTGTTTTCAAAGGCAGTGGCTAGAAAAGTGTCTATGGGACCAGAGGCCTTTGCAGGCAGGAGTGGCAGCTTGAAGATGGGTGTGGCAGCAGGACCAAGACAGACCTGGCAGGATGAGAAGAGCCTATCAGGGCCTGAGGGGAGCGGTCCTCTGCTTCTGCCCGAGGGTCCTGCTCCATTCCCAAGGGAGCATCGTGGACTCCCTTCCTCTCCAGGCTGCCCAGGGCCACTCTTGCCCTGTTTGAGTATTTAGGGGGCTATCCAGCCAGGTGTGTGTGCTCCTCCTCTTTTTGGAGAAGAGAGTCGTAGCCCTAGGCATCCCTGGGGCCCCACAGAGGAAAGTGACACCTCTGCCTGAGCCCTTGCCAACAGAGAGAAGACTGTCCTTGACCCAGAACAAGCATTTGAAGGCATAGATCTTCCCAGCCTGAGCCTCTGCCCATGGGAAGGGGGTACCAGCCAGAGTCAGGAAACACTCTGGAGCCTACCAAGCTAGTGAGCTGTTCAGGATGCTCTAGCTGAGCCGCTCAGCCTGGGAGCCAGGATCCCACAGTTAGGATGGAACAGGGAGAAGGGGATGTATCTTTGCCCCTCCCCCATACCATCCACCTTGTGTGTCCCTGATGCTGCTCTTCCCAGAGATGTTTGGGTCCTGTGAACCCAAAAACCTGTGGGAGCTTGTCTTTAGAGCTAAGCTAAAGACTGAATTTATTCTCATTCTCATTCATTCTCTCTCTGTCTCTCTGTCAGTCTCTCTCTCTCCCTCTCTTCTTCCCTCCCTCCCTCCCTTTCTTGCTCTTCCCCCATCTCCTACACAGTTTAGTTCTTATGCACTAACACTGCATTCTCACACTTTAATATGAATGCACAGACCGCTTCTTCGAGGGGCTGGAGACTACAGCCTGGCCACTTCTGCTAAGCCTTATTTCTTTCGTTGTTGTTGTTTACAGACAGGATTTCACCATGTAGCACTGGCTGTCCTGGAACCCGCAGAGATCGGCCTGCCTCTGCCTCACTAGTGCTGGGATTGAAGGCATGTGCTGCCACGGCTGGGCTCTAAGCCTTATTTCTGTCTTGCAGCTGGTGAGACTCAATTTCAGATCGGGAAAGTAGCCTTTTAAATGGAGGGTCTTCCTCTCCCTGATCGAGGTCCCATTTCCGAGTCTTCCCAGCTATTCTGGAGGCTCAATACTGAGAGGCCTTCTCAAAAAATCCAGCCCTTTGGGTTTTGTGTCCCCAGTGCCTCAGTGCCTGAGGCCACAACAATAGCTAGTTTTGCTTCCTAGATTCTTTTCTGTGTTCAGGCAGAAACGTCCAACAAATGTATGGCACATCCCACCCCTACCATGGACACCTGGGATGATAAATCCTATATGAATTCCATGGGCACCAGACCTTCCTTTTCTCTGTCACTTAGCCTCTGTCACTTCCCCCCTCCCCAGGAGTCACCAGGGCAAAACATTTGGGCCAGAGGCACTCCTGACCTCCTATATCACGGTCTCAGGGATGTCGGACCATATCCAGCCAAAGCCCTGGAAAATGCTTGTGATTCCAGATTTTCACAGACCAACGATCCCAAGCCCAGGACTGGCTTTGGGGATCCTCTACAGCCACTATGCCACCTGAGCGGTGCATGTCAGGAACAAAGGCTTCCTTCCGACTGTGCAGAGGGAGGGGGCGGGGTGTGGGAGTGTTTCCTCTGCAGATGTTGAACCAGCGGCTCTAAGTCAGGACACTGAGAGATGTGAAATGCTCTCCGTGTGGCTGGCTGCCACTACCCACTCAGCCCTGACAGCGGCTCCCGGATGCCATCCCCAGCTCACAGACTGTGAGACAGGAAGTGTAGAAACAAAGCCCACAGCTGGGCCAGGCTGTCTTCTCTCTGAGGAGGCACCAGATCAGCATGAGTTCCAGGTAGGAGGCTGTGATCAGCTTCATCTCCTAGGGTTAGGCTTCTGGGCTGTGAAGTTGTGAAGGGTACAGGGAGTGGGATTGGGGAGAAATATCATGAGTGTGCCTGTGCCTGTGTCTGTACCCACCCCGAAGGATGCTTGGTGAATGACAGAATGAGACAGCACAGGAGGAAAGGCCAGAAAGTCTGTAGTAGAGGCAGAAGAGTGCCCACCAATTCAGCTACGCTTCGAAATACAGATGTCGTCATAAGGGAATTGCAAGGTGACCCGGGAGTCTCAGGAGAAGGGTCCAAAGATGAAGAGCGGTAGTGCTGCCCAGGAGGGCATGAAAAAATGGAGGCGAGAAGCTTGAGGTGGCTTCTCTTAAGAAGGACTGGCCAGTGTCCAGGCAAGTGCTGCCCCCATGGAGATGCCTCCGACTGGGAAGAGGAGAAACGAGTGGGCATAGTGTGTGCGCAGGTATGGGGGTGTACCCAGGGGTGTGGGAGTGTGCTGAGGCTCAGACATGGCCAGCATGCTCCCCCTCCCTCCCCCATGCTCAAGATGAAAGCACAAAAGGAGTGTTGACCATGCAAAGGGCCCCACAGCGGAAGCTGTTATCAGGAACATCTAATGGGGCTCTGCAGGGCTGAGGCCAAGGCCCCAGGCAGCCCAGGCTTTCCTGATTCTCAGGCAGGGAAAGGCCTGCAGTTGGCATGGGCCCTGGTACCAGGCTCAGTTCCTTGCCCCTCCAACCAGATACCCTGGCATTAATCTAGTACTGCAGGCACCACCTGCATCTCCCCATCCAACTTAGCCACCCACATCCTGGGGCTGCCTCAGTTGGAACCCATAGAACTCTGGAGTAGAAACAGCTGGAGGAACAGCTGCCTTCCCAAGCCTGGAGTGCCCCTGCCTCCCTCTGCAGCTGGAGAGATGGACCTGGGCAAGGTCAGGCTGTCACTGAGAGAGCTCAGCTACTTTTTTTTTTTGTTCCTTGGGTGGCCAGGATGATTCAAAACTGCTTTCTCTGGCTCCTCGGGACTGTTAGAGAGTTTACATGACTCTTGGGTCCAACCATATTCCTTACAGGTTGTGAGTTTGGGGGAGTCAGGACCATGTTCTTAGATCTAGCACTATGTACACAGTTGATGCTTAATAATAAAAACATTATCTTGTGCTTTCTGTGTGCCAGAGACCGTTCTAGGGACTTCCCAGGCATTAACTGGCATGATCTTATCAACAAACCTGAGAGATCACTGCTGTCTTCCTCTCACAGACCAGGCACCCAGAGACACAGGGGCCTTGCCAGCATGTATACTTGCTTATGAAATGGAATGAGGTCAGAGATGGTATCCTTGAGGTCACCTCTGAAAGAGAGGAAAGCCTGGGACCAGACTATTCAGGACAGATTGTTTTGGGAGACGTGAGGTTCTGGGATTCTCTATGCTGGTGAGCGTTCTACTTCTTTTGGAGGATATTGAGGGGCTCCTGGGGTCTATCAGTAGTTTTCTGCTGCTTCCTGAAGGGCCATCAGGATGGGACAGCTTTAACCAAAGCTATGGGTGGGAATAGTGTGAAAGGAGGAGGGACCGAAAGGGCCAGTGGTGGGCTCAGCGTGTCCTAAAAGTCAGAGCCAGGGGAAGCTTCTTAATCTATCACCAATGAGGGTACTAGAACCATGGTCCCACGCTGTGACCTGAGGGACTCAGCCCATTGGTGATGAACAGAAGGACACTGATCACATGGGCTGTTGTTTTGTAGGAGACAGGAGTGGGAGCCCAGCTGGGCCAGAGCACAGGCAGCATGCTGGGATCACAGCCCCAGTGGCTCAGTACTTAGCAAGCTCATAGGCTCCACCCCCTCTGTTATTTTAATCCTGGCCACAGGTGAGATTGTTCCCTGTGTGTGAGTTTCTGATCGATACAGAGCAGCACAGTCCTTACAAATCCCTTTGGTCTTAGTTTCTTCTGTTGCAAGAATGTCTCAACTAACACGTGGTTGGTCAGAAGGTGGAGGCCTTGAACTTAGGGTGCCAGATACCGTAGCAGCTGGCTACTGCAAAGACTGTAGTCTACAATGCAGTGGGGTCAGGAAGAACCTTCCACATTGGGTATAATGGGACAGATGGGCAGAAGGGACCTTAGTGGCCCCAGTAAGGAAATAGCCAAGCCATTCTCCATCCACTGAGGTGGTACTGATCCTTCAAATGTATTGTTTCCCAAACTGTACATAGACACCACATAAAAGTGACACTGAGTTCTAGGAGCCCTCCTAGGCCCTTTGGAAACCCTATGAAAATGCTGGGGAGCCTCTTCTGAGAGTATCTCCGGGTTAACTGGGGCTCAACAGGGCCAGTGGCCTCTGTGTGCTTGGCTGCCTTTCCTGACCATTAATCGCTACTAAGTGTCATTACTGCTAATAAAATTAACGGACTTTATACTGAACTTCTGGAGCCATCAATCTCCGGGCCTATTACATGAAATTAAAAAAGCAGGTGCCTGCTGATGAGTGGGGGAGTTTTCAGAGCCACAAATGCAGCCTGTGGAATTCTGTTACTCTGCAGCCAGCCACAGCATGCCATAACAAAGGACAACAACCTCAGGGAGACCAAGCAACTCCCGGCCATGACTCCACAGTGTAAGTGTGTCAGGCAAGAGCAGGGTGACCCTTGGGGAGGCTCTGGGACCAGGGCTGGAAGTGTTCCCTGCACTCTCAGCTCTGCCAAGCTCAAAGAATTTGGTTCCTCCTTCTCGCTTTTTGGCTCAACTTCCTGTTTCTTTTCTGGGTCTCAGACCCAGCCACGCAAGGAGAGAAAGGAAGAGAAAGCGAGAGTGTGCTCTTATTATTCAAATGCCAAACTCCCAGAGAAAAGACAGCTAGGATTATCAGTTCAGTGCTGATCTAACCAGTAGACCAGAGCATCATGGTCACGTGAAACACAGTTATGTACAAAGACCATACGGCAACTGTGGTACATAGCAGGAACCTGTGGCCGAAGGCCTAATCACATGTCTGTAATATTTTGAAGTCCTTAGTAATAAGCACTCAAAAAATTTGCATGTGTTTTATGTGTGAGTGTGTGTGTATGTATATGTACCACAAGAATATAATGAATGCAATTTTTAATGCATTATGTCATTACATAAAATATCATGATGACAAAATAATAATAGCTTCCTTTAATTAATTTTAATTAATAATTCCTTTAATTAATTTTTTTAAGAATATTGAAAATCATACCTAGTTCATGCTAGGTAAGCGGTTCGCCACAGAACTGAGTTACCCACTAGTTTTACAACTTGCTGTGCAGCTCAGCATGACTGTAGACCATGTCCCCATTAAAACTGTTTCTGTAGTACTGGTGATTGGACCCCAGACAAGCACCCTATCAACTGGGGTACATCCCCAGACCTAACTCCGTGTGTGTGTGTGTGTGTGTGTGTGTGTGTGTAGTGGGGGGCAGATGTGTACTAAAGCATACACATGAGGGTCAGAAGACAACCGTGGGCAGCGGACTTCACCTTCCACCTTGTTTGAGACAGTCTTTTTGTTCTCTGCCGCTGCACGTGCCAGGCTCACTAACCTCTTAAGATTCTCCTGCCTCCATCTCTCATCTCGCTGTAGGAATACCAGGATTACATGTGTGCTACTATCTCTGGCTTTGCATGGGTTCGGGAGATTTGAACTCATGTCCTCATGATTCCATGACAAATACTTTTACTCACTGAGCCACTTCCCCAGCCTTCTGTTATTATTATTGGTTTTGTCTGTCTGTTCGTTTGTTTGTTTAACGACTGTGAAACAGGTTTTAAAGGATGTGTAGCCTTATTGGCCAAAATGCCCACCATACCCTTTTCTTCTCCGAAATGTCAATCAGCTTTTATAAGGGATGTCCCAATCTCTGAACCAGAAATTGTGTGAACCAAAGTTGTCCCTCACACCAGCCCCTGGTGTGGAGAAGAGAATCTTCTGGAGGTTACATGACTGTTGACCTGTGTTCCCAGCAGTCCTGGAGTTGCCTTCCACACTGGAAACCATTCAAGGTGGGGCCTCACCAGCAGGAGCTGACCTCAGGCTCTGCTCCTTGCCTGCCCGGGGTCAAGCTCCGAGGGTTTCCTGCCAGGCTGCAGGGAGGAGTCTGGGTTTAGGCCTGGTGGACTGGAAACTTACCCATTTGCCCCTTGATTAATGTTTAACGGGCCCCTTTGCTCACTGTGTCTGGGAGGGGAGCCCGGTCCAGGCTGGGCTTGGGGGAGCCGATAGCATCTGTCTGTGCTCAGTGTTTCGGAGATATGCTCCACGCCGGGTTGGGCGCACCTGATAGACTTGAAATCTACAGGGGCACCTGGGGCCTCGCCAGGACCTCCACCTAGCAGTGAGGCTTCCTCTTTCTCAGGCAGACAGAGAGGCTATGGCATCTAGCCAGATGTCCTGGCTCAGGCAGGTGACTCCAGCAGCTCAGCCGTGCCTGAACTCTGTGGGATAAGGACATCTCGGCCACTCAAGGGCTTGGCCACAGTACTTACCCTTAGCCGTTGGCACACGAACAAAAGTGGCAAGTTCCACATCCAAGTGGAAATGTTGACAGTCCCCATCTAGTCCCACTTTGGCTCTTCTACCCTGGATGAGAGACGAGCGTTTCCAGAGAGAAGCTGTATTCTCTGGCTTGGGTCTGGTGATGATGTGCACCCCATCCACATGGAGTGCAGCAGGGTGGGGGATGGCAAGCTCCTAACGCTGTCACAGAGAGGTTCTGGGAGAGGGGACAGTCCTCGTTCTGGACCATACCTTGCCGCTAACCAGTCACGCCTACCATCTGAGCTGGTTATCACCTCCACACAAAGCCTCTAATACCTGTCAAGATAGAGGGAGACACTGCCGCTTAGAATGTCAGGCATCTTGAAGAGAAGACAACTCCAGCCGGTAGGAAGGCAAGCCTGCCTGGCTGGCTTGATTTTGTGCTTTCTATGCAATCTCTATAGCACCTCTGGGGGTCAAGGGTCCTGGATGCCAAGGAGGAAGCCAAAGCCATTAGAACACGACAGGATTAGGCTTAGAATTTGGCAGCCTGACTTTAGAATTAATGACTTTGGATATAGAACATGAAGTCTGATCCTAGACTTTCCTCCTTCTCTCCTTCCCTCCCTCCCTCCCTTTTCCCTCCCTCCCCTTTTCATTCTTCCTTTCCCCAAACTTCTAATTGTACGAGGCACCACATGGCCAGATGGTTGATGATCTACCTGGGGTCCGGGAACAAGCTAGACTGGCATGGGCTTACTTGAACAGCGATGGAACACAAGGGAGAAAGGGATGTAGGGACCTTGGCTCGGTGTTTACTCTGTCTGCACCCCCTGTGCTTAACCCCACAGCAAGGGACTCCCCTCCAGGAAGTGACTAATGCTACTTGTAACATCTCCCACACTTGCACAGCATAGCAGCTGCCCAGGAGATGTGGCAAAAATACAGATTCCAGGCCCTGCTCCGGACCTATGGAAACACCACTCAGGTGCAGGTCTTGGAAATCCGTGTTGATCCGAAACATATCTTGCTGCGTAGCCCCGGCTGGCCCTGTACTCATAGCATCTTCTTGCCTTGGACCCTTCAAGCACAGGGATTGCAGGCATGCACCACCACGCTCAGCTTGGCTCTGTATTTCCACTAAATGCTCAGGATGACTTTTTCAGTTGGGCAAGTTGGTGAAGGAGGATAGATAAGAAAGGCAGGGCAGAAGCTGGAGAACTTGACCTTGAGGGGGCACACCATTCCGTGCTACATAAGTACCTGGTCTTTTACTCTGTAAGATGGGAACATAACCCCTGTGGGACTGGCCTGCCACTGGGAGCAAAAATAAAGATAGCCACTTTCCTTCCCTGTGGGATGGTCAGCTTTTGGGCCCTCCACGGGCAGGAATCCCAAGGTTCATCATCGTCCTTCTCACCCTCTTTAGCCTGACCGGTCGTGAGGTCCTGACACCCTTCCCAGACCTGGGCACGGCGGCAGCTCCGGCACAGGCTGGTGCCCACCTAAAGCAGTGTGACCTGCTGAAGCTGTCCAGGCGGCAGAAGCAGCTCTGCAGGAGGGAGCCTGGCCTGGCTGAGACCCTGAGGGATGCTGCTCACCTCGGGCTGCTGGAATGTCAGTTCCAGTTCAGGCAGGAGCGCTGGAACTGCAGCCTGGAGGGGAGGACTGGCCTGCTCCAGAGAGGTAGGGAGGAGGACTTCCAGGGAGGAAGAGGGCTTGGTGGGAGGTTGTGGGTGATGAGATGGTTATGCCCAGGTCTTGTTGTGCTGACTACTGGGCCACTGTCCCAACTGAGAAGAGACCTGGGGAAGTAGAAAGGGTCTGTTGAAGGTAGTGGTTTGGGAGAAAAGAGGAGCAAAGGGAACACGAGAGAGGAAAGGACACAGTGTTCCTGGGAGAGATGACAGAGGAGGTGGGTGGCCCCAGCCACCTACTAAGTGGTCCAAATGTGCAAGTCAGGCAGATTCCTTGGTCCACACACTCATCTGTCACTGTTCGTCACATCTGTTGATGTGTCATCCCCTCCTTCCCAGCTGACTCCCCCTCCTTCCTCATCCTCCTCCACCCCTGCCATCCATCTGCTAAGCGTCTGCACAGGCCCACAATGAGCCAGGCACTGCACAAGGGGCTGGAGGCACAGGCTGAGCACAACCCAGTCGGCCTTGGAAAGTGCATCCTCTAGAAAGAGAAAATGGGTCAGCATGACTCTATTGTCAGGCTGAAGGGAAGTGGCATTTTATCACTGTCATTGTTATTTGTTTGGGAGCAGAGTGGGGACTAGGTTCCTGTAGCCCAGGCTGGCCTGGAACTCACTATAGAACTTGTTTCAAATGCTCAGCGATTTGTCCTATTTCCTGAGTGCTGGAATTATAGGTATGAGTCATCCGCCGTGCTTGGAGGTATAGTGGAAACATTGTTTCTAAACCTGCAGTGATGTAAACAGGGGAGGCCGGCCCCTCTCTAAGCCAGCTGGTCTCCATTGCAGGGAGGGTCTGAGGGAGAGCTATCGGCCGGCTCCCCTTTCTTTTCAGCTGTCAGCTTTTCAGTACCCCAGATCTCCTGAGGATGGAGGGCTTAGGGAAACGTTTGGGGCACCTTTCAACAGTGTGAGCACAGTGGTGGCCCCAGTACTGGGTAGATGTCAGGCAGGACCTCCAAGGCCATTCTGCCTTTCGGTCATCTACAGATGGTGGTAGAGGGCGTTTGAGAAACACTAGACAGAAACAGAGAGACAGGTTGTTCAACTTGTCACAAAAGCACTTGATGACTGTTCAGCCTCAGCTTGGTCCCGTCCCAAGTGCCCAGGTCACTTTTTTTTTTTTTTTTGCATAAGTTACTGAGATTTAGCAGCTCTGTCTTGCTGCCCTCTGAGAGCTGGGGACATGCTCCAGTGTAAGTCTGGAGGCCATGTAAGGGGCAGCTTTCGGCTTGGGTCTGAGGGACAGGTAATGGGAAGCCTTATACAGCCATGCCCTTAGGCTCACACCACGTCAACCTAGCTGCCGTACACACCATGCAACTCCCACCTTCGGAGGGCTGCAGATGGCCTCTGAGCTTCTATTTCTCCTGCACAGGCTTCAAGGAGACGGCCTTCCTGTATGCAGTGTCTGCAGCTGCCCTCACGCATGCGCTGGCCAGAGCCTGCAGTGCTGGGCGCATGGAACGTTGCACCTGTGATGACTCCCCAGGCCTGGAGAGCCGGCAGGCCTGGCAGTGGGGGGTGTGTGGTGACAATCTGAAGTATAGCACCAAGTTCCTCAGCAACTTCCTGGGGCCCAAGAGAGGAAGCAAGGACCTGAGGGCGAGAGCTGACGCTCACAACACCCACGTGGGCATCAAGGTGAGCGAGTACCCTCCCTATGCCCGAAGGATTGTACTGAGGCAGGGATCAAGATCCATGGGAGGCCAATGCCCTGCACCCAACACAGATGAACTTCAGGCCCCCTTCAGTGAGCCTTCTCTTCATACTCCTGGGCACTAGGGGCACAGAATCCTGGGTATCGTCATGGTCGAACCAGGCATCGTGCCTCGATAGGATAGGACTGTGTTTGGAAAGGAGTCTCTGGTCCAAGGACCAAGCCAGCATCATTTGACAACTTTGATATGACAACGGCCAGGCTTCCTCCATTTTGTGAGTAGGAGAGGGAGGAGGCCCAGAGAAGGGGAGGGGATTAGCTGAGGTCACATAGCCATGAGAGATAGTGAGTCTCTAGGTCTATGGAGTGAGACGGCGGGGCGAGGTCAGAATGCCAATTCTTTTAGGGAACTGGCCTGCTGTGTTCAGTTGTGCAGGCTGAACACTCCAGAAGAACTCTGGGCCAAGGGGAGGAGCTGTTGGTTGAGATCTGGCCCAGACTGCCCTTGCCTAGGTGTGCACTGCTTAGAGGAAGAGAAACCGTTTCCAACTTTACACAAAGATACTTTGAGGGTCTCAGGTTATTGTGACTTGGCTCTGTCACCTTCGCATGGGCCTTCCTGCCTCTTTATTCTGTTGACACTCCTTGGCAGAGCTGGCACAGTGAGACAGGCTTAGACCACTGACAGACCTCTTCTCTGACTCGTTCTGCAGGCTGTGAAGAACGGCCTGAGAACAACCTGCAAGTGCCATGGTGTGTCAGGCTCCTGTGCTGTGCGCACCTGTTGGAAGCAGCTCTCCCCATTTCGAGAGACCGGCCAGGTGCTGAAGCTCCGTTACGACACGGCTGTCAAGGTGTCCAGTGCCACCAATGAAGCCTTGGGCCGTCTGGAGCTATGGGCACCTGCTAAGCCAGGTGGCCCTGCCAAGGGCTTAGCACCACGGCCCGGGGACCTGGTCTACATGGAAGATTCTCCCAGCTTCTGCCGGCCCAGCAAGTACTCTCCGGGCACAGCAGGCAGGGTGTGTTCTCGAGACTCAAGCTGCAGCAGCCTATGCTGCGGGCGAGGCTACGACACCCAGAGCCGCATGGTGGTTTTCTCCTGCCACTGTCAAGTGCAGTGGTGCTGCTATGTGGAGTGCCAGCAGTGCGCACAGCAGGAGCTTGTGTACACCTGCAAGCGCTAGGCTTCCACCAGACAAGACCTAGGCACTGCCAGGACTCCCGCGGAGCAGCGTGCAAGCATGCACCTGCTGATGCACATGCTGTGCACAAGAATGTACAACTCTCTCTTCCCCAACAGATGGTTGGCTAGCCTTCTGCCTTCCCCAACACTCAGCAGAGAGAAAAAAAAGTGCCCCGCCTCCTGGTCCCAGGATCACCAACCTGGTGGAGGACTTGGGGGTCAGAGAACAGACTGAGAAGGGGAATCTTTGAGGACCAGGGTAGGGCAGAAATGATGCTGTGTGGGAAGAGAGAAGCATCCTCCTGTCTCAAGGCCCAAAACTTGGAGGATGTGGAAGAGGGAGGTGGAGTCAGCTCGAGTGTGGGTCAGGGCATCCATCTGGTCATGGCTGATCTGTTGTGGTCCCACTCTGATGGCAGAGAGCTCTGGATGCTACATGCCTATCCTGCTCTTGTGGTTTCATGGACTGTAGACTGTTTGGAATGTTTATTGGGAGCAAGGGAAACATTTTAGGCTTGGGTGGACTGAGTTACAGAGCCCATGCCCTGAAGTCTTATGTTCTGGCACCAAGGGCTGCCTCCTTGTCTCCTTGTCTTGAGAGTCGCCACCCCCAAAACCATTGAGCTCTGCTCAATTAGACCCCTAATGTATATAAGAAGGGTGTAGGAGCCAGTCTCCTTGGTGGGACTCAGATAAACACAACTAGGGTTGAGTGAGGTGACAGTGACCCTTTCTCTTTTCCTTGGTGGCCCAAGGAACCTTTAATCACAGTCCAGAGGAGGAGAGAGGCAGTGTCCTTATGCCTGGAAGAGATATGACAGTCTCTATATTGAAATACCACCCTGGAGTGTGTCCTACCAATTCCTGTGACCAGGGTCCCCTAGAGCTGCAAGCTCCCCCCCACACACACACACACATGCTAGTGACTCATGAGAATGAGTGGCTCATGGGCTACAAATCCGCTTACACTCTCCGCTCTCAAAGATGCTTTTGCAGGCTTTTTTGCCCTGGCTAAGTCTTTGCCAAGTCTGCCTCCTCAGTGGTCTTACTCATTTACTAATGGCCTGTCACTCTGGCTCCCACCGGGGGACCAGAATCCTTTGGTCATTTTTTATGGCCCCTACCAAGGCCCTCTGTGAAAAGAGAGGAAGTAGTGTACAGGTACAGGCTCACACACACACACACACACACAGCCTGAGCAGGCACAGACATTCCAATGCGGTGTCTCTCCAGCCCAGGGCAAAGACCTCACTGGAATCACTGCTGAAAGCTCTGTGCTACCCTAGGGCAGGGTCCAAGGCTAACCAGGAGGAGGTGACCTCCTTTGGGAAGACTTTGGCCATTTGGCTGTCTGTGCTGTGCCCTCCTGTGAGCCTCCTTCCACCCTGAACTCTGTGGGGTTACTACCCCTCGAAGGGACAGAAAGCTTCGGAATCAGTGGGTGCTCAGCAACACTGGCTCTCCCAGCTCCAAGAAAGAGGCTCTGTGGCTGAGACATCCATGAGCCAGAGGGGGCCACCTTCTCTTCTGTGGCTCAGGGCAGTATGAGGATGCCAGAAAGATCTTTGGTGGCAGAAGCTCCAAGGAGGAGCCACAGTGACCTGAGACCCTTCTCTGGAATGACTTTGCTGACAAAAGAAGCCCACTCACAGCTTGGCAGGAGGAAAAAACAGATTGAGCTCTGCTTTCTATTTTCCTGCTAAAGTGAGATGTGTTCCGTGGTAACCCAAGGCATCCTTCTCTTCTATGATCCTAACACTGCTCTGCCTGGAGGGTGCAGGGCAAGAAAGGAGCCTGGAAAACCTCTGGGACTAGAATACCCGGATCTACAGCCATACCACCTGTACCCTGACTCTATGGCCAGGAGGGCCAGGGGTGCGGGAGGGTCAAAGATGAACGTGAAGCTGAAACTGAGGCTGACTGATCATTAAGACCGACACCCTAAGGCACCCTCAGTCAAGTCCTCTTCCTCCCTTCTCCTTTCTTTCTCCAAGGCCCTGTTCCCTCTAAAATCCCATCACAGCCATGCTGGGCCCCTCAGACTGGAACTTTAAGGGAGATATTCACAGGGTATTTTTGCCTACCTCATACATATAGTTTTCAGAAAAATAATTTATATAGCTAAGATATATAGGAAAGTATTTATGTTATTTATATAGCTTCTCTATTTCCTGGGCACCATATGTGGGGGTTGTGTGTTTACCCAGAAGCCTCTGGGGGAAATATGGCTGGTCTGCCTGGGCCTCGCAGAGCTGGATGCTACATAGCTCCTGTGTCTCACTCTGTCTTGGAGCTCAGGAACACATGTCCCTCCTGAGACCTGTGACACTGAGCCGGATCTTCCTTGTGAAGTCCGTGGACTCTCTGCCTCTGGCCCCAGGGGCCTTTCTGCTTTGGCCAAAGGGTTTTCACTCATAAAGGACAAAAAGGATGAGCACATCTGGATGAGCACATCTGGATGAGCACATTTGGATTTGTAAAGCACTTTTCATCTTCAGAAACACTGCTCTCTTTTCTCTCCCTCGGTTTTCCCGTTCCCTATGAGATTAGGGTAGGTGAGGCCACGTCACTGTTACCACTTTCCAGATTCGGCCCAGAGACAGGGGCATGTGCTCAAAGTTACACAGAAGAGAACAAGGAATGAATATTGACTTGAGCATACTCCAGGAACTGGGGGAGTGGTCCTACCTGAAAGTCAAAGCCATTCACTCTCAGTGTGAGCCTAGAAGTTGAGGAAGTGTCCTTGCTGCGTGTGACGCTGGTCTTCCCCCATGGATGGCATGTTAGCTTCTCCAGCAAGATGAGTCTCATGTCCCAAAGCCTGGGACTCCTGCAAAGCCTGGAGAGACAAGGACTCCATGGAGGTCATTCTTGGGGGCGTGTTCTGCAGCCCACATTGATCTCCATGACCAGGCTATCGTCTCCAGCCCCTCGTAGCCCGTGGATGACTTGTTTCTTCTCTTTTGTGTTTTGACTTTTAAAAGTGACTGGTTTCCCACTGGACTTCTAATCTTTTCTTTGAAAGTCAGTTGCACTGGCAAATAGGACCTGCATCTGGACCTGGCTGCCAGCATTGGGAGCTACATCAGACAGAATACACGGGGTTCCCCAATTGGCCCAGTGTCCCTGGCCCTTCTTTGAGTCATACAAGCTCCCATCTGGTTTTCATGAGCATGCAGAACCTGCCCTTGGTCTAGAGAAAGCCAGCTATCTTGGCACCCTGTTTGTCTGACAGACAGAAAAACCACACCGAGGCCATCTTTCTTTCTAGACTTTCCTCTCTAAACACCCATGAACTTCCATACTTCCCATCTGAGCATGCAGGAGAATCCCAATGGAGCTCTTCTTTGTTGAGTGCTGGAATGTTCATCCCACCTTGAGGTGATTATTTAGGGAGCTTCCGATAATGCCAGGGGGACACTCTGGGTGCTAGGGCACAGCAGTTCCAGCCTCATGGGGCTCACATGCCAGTGAGGAGAAAGCTTACAAGCCAATAAACTATGCACTGGTTATTTGTGCTTCCGTTTTTATTGCTGTTGTTTTGGTATGTGGGTGTTCATGTGTGTGTGCACATGTGTCCGTGGCTGTGGGTATGTGTGCATGTGGAGGTTTTAGAAGATGTCTCCCCCTTTTGTTTTGTTTTTCTTGAGACAAGGTCTTTCACTGTCCTGGGAATCAGCAAGTAGGCCAAGCTTACTGGCCTCTCCATGCTGGAATTCCCAATGTGTACCATCCCCACGCCTGGCTTTTCCATGTGGGTCCCGGGAATTGAACTCAGGTCCTGTATGTGCACAATAACTACTTTCCTGACAGAGCCATCTCCTGGTCTTATTTGTCCTCTCTTGTCTCGGTTTGTGACAATATTTTTGCCTAGTAGAGGCTGCCACCTGCCCTGGCTAAGGAGTAAAGGTCATGAGATAGGAAGGCTCCTCAGGGCCACCAGCAAGCAGCAGTGCTAGACTGAACACAGATCTGTCAGCCTTCGAAACAGAGGTCTTTTCCTTCTCACATTTCCACATCTCCTCTTGGGTAAGTAGGGCAGGAATGCACCCCTTGCTATGAATTCTGGGTAAATGAGGTCCAGAGTAAAGTCATCATCCAACCTAGGCTGTTCATCAAATCAGAGCAGGCTGAACGGTTGAGCAGAGGTGCAGAGGCCCCACTCTGCAGCCTGCAACATGGGGAGGTTGCAAGCAGTAAAAAACAAAATGGTAGCCTTCAGGAATTTGGGACCTGAAGTGACAATCAAAAAGAACAGACATGCAATGGATGGCCCCTCTTTATGCTTCAGCCCCAGAGTCCCAGTTTCAGCTGTAATTCTGTCCCAGCATGGGATGGAAGGCCCATTGCATCCTGGGAATCTGGTACAAGGGAGGCAGAAGCAGGGAGTGGGGACCAGGCGAGCAGAGTTCTTATCTCTTAGCTCAGGCCTGCCCTGTGCCCTGTCCCAGCTCTTCAGGCCCACTGAAGGCTACGTTGTCTCACCTGGGGTCCTGAGAGAAAGAGAGAGAGAGAGAGAGAGAGAGAGAGAGAGAGAGAGAGAG